AAAGAGGTCTTCTGCAGCAGATTCACCTCATGCAATTTGTCTTTTGATGTTAGTAGAGGGTGTTACTTCAGTCCTTACCCTCGATTTTCCTTGGGAGCACGATCTACTGAAAGTGAAAAACCACACCTCCATATAAGAATGAGGCATCTCAGAAGCAGGAACAGGGAGAATCCCAGGACCAGCAAAGAAACGCTGTCAATGGAGTGTGTTCAAGAGCTCTGTCCGGAGTGGCGAAGGCCCAGAGCAGAGGCACCAGAGGCTGCAGCATAAATACCACAGGCCAGAGAAAAGGAGCTGGGCCAAGGCCCGAGGTAGAGGTAGGGAGACAACGGGCAAGAGCCGAGGAGCAGCACTGATACTAGACTGTGCAGCAGAGCAGTGGGCTGGCTTCCTGGTACATAGAGGCAGAGGCCATGGACTCCATTACAGAGAGGTGGAGAGCCTAGAAAGAAGACTTGGCCATTGGCAGAGAGGGGCTGCTGTGGACCAATGACTGTATCCATACTGATTACTGATCCTGACTTGTTGTAACCTATTAACTTCCTGAAGAAACCTCCATAATAGTGAGTTTTGTCCAAGTTCTGCGTGCCCATTGTACTGAATTATTAAACCTAGCAGAGAAAGAGTCCTGTCAGAGGGACAGTTGGTGTCAGAGAGTAAAACAGGATAGGGGGTGGAGGCATGGCTCACCTGCCTCATGGCAGCTGGGTAGAGATGGATTCTCCTTCTCCCTTGAACAGCCAGAGGAGGTCATATATGGCCTCCATGCTGTTTTTGTAAAACCAAACCAATGAAATCAAGCCCCTGGTTTGGACGTTAAAAGAAAAAGTAGTCATTATAAATGAGCCACTTGGAAGTAACACGAGCTTCTTCTTTGGAAAGAGCTACTAGATCTGTGAAAGTTCAGGAACAAGCCAGTGGCACCAGACAGGGCTTTTGACAATGTCTTCAGGAGGCCTAACATAATTTCTCCTCTTGACCACTGCTCCATTTCCTTTATCCACAGAGCACTAGCTAGATCATCGTAGGTGTTCCACGTGGTGGGTGGGAAAGTGGGTGGGTGGATGGATGGATGAATAAATCGCCCTTAAATACAAATTCAAGAGATAAAGGTTAGGGAGGAATAGTAGGATGTTTCCTAATCAAATGAACAATTACAGCCAGAAAGTTCTGATTGACTTAAACCCAGGACACCTAATCAACATGGTCTTTCATCCTGAATTTTTAATCAGTTTTAAAGTACTCACTAATTATTATTATTTTTCCTACCATCTATTGAACATTTAACTCTCCTTTGCATTATGATGAGTATTTTGCATAAAAATCTAGCATATTCATCCATCAACTTTTAAAGGAAATATCATTATTCCATTCCACAGACGAGATAAATGAGATTTTAAAAGGCCATTGAATCTGCAGCTTGTCTCACGCCAAAGCCTGTCTTAACTATACATGTTATGCTTATCAAATCTACTGGGGATACAGAGCTATGAATAACACATACTACATGGAAGGATGCCATAACATTTTGAATTAGAATTCAAAATAAGTTCAATGGATTTCATGAGGACAGAATTATTTAAAGGGATGACAAGGGGGAGAGGGATTAGACTCATTCTACATAAATCTAAAAGGAAAGCCTACCACTCAAGGTGGAAGTTCCAGGGATTTCTTATTTCTAATTGAATGTCTTATCGTCATGTGAGCATTAAGGTTTCTTTAGCTAAAATTGTTTTAAAGGCTGGCAGACAGGTAAATATGAAGATTATAGAACCTTATAGAACCTCAACTTTATTTCACATAACATTTTTTTAAAATCATTTTATTGGGGGTTCTTACAACATTCCATACATCAATTGTATCAAGCATATTTGTACATATGTTGCCATCATCATCAAATGTTTTCTAAACATTTACTTTCTATTTGTACCCTTGGTATCCCTCTTTTTGCCCTCCCTCCCTCCTCCCCACCCTCGTGACCCCTTGATAAATTATAAATTACTATTATTTTCCTATCTTACACCAACCGCTGTCTCCGCCCCCACCGCCCCCCCCGCCCCGGTTCTGTTGTCTGTCCCAGGCGGGGTGATGATTGATGTGGTGATGATGCATCCCTCACTGCAGCTGGTTCCCTTTTCCTTCCCTCCTCCCTCTACCTTGTCCTTCCTGACATCACTAATCCCATTTCTGCTCCCGCAGGGTTTATCTGACCTGAACTGTTTGTGTCTTGAGCTCTTATCTGTACCACTGTACATGCTCCAGTCTAGAACTGAAAGGCAGACTGGGGTCATGATGGGGAGGGGAGGCGGGGGAAGAGTCTCGAAGAACCAGAGAAACATTGTGTGTTTCATCAGTGCTACACTGCGCCCTGGTTGATTCATCCCTTCCTTGTGACCCTTCTGTGAGGGGATGTCCTATTGTCTATAGATGGGTCTTGGGTCTCTGCTCCAACCCCCTTCATTCTCAACAATATGTTGGGTTTTTGTTTGTTTTGGGTCTTCTGGTGCCTGTTACCTGAGTCCATCGAAACCTCATGAGCGCACAAGTTGGTGTGCTTCTTTCATGTGGATTTGTTGCTCTCTGCTAGATGGCCACTTGTTTAACATCAAGCCTTTAAGACCTCAGATGCTATATCTTTTGATATCCAGGCACCATCATCTTTCTTTACATTTGCTTATGCACCTATTTTGTCTTCATTTAGATAACATTTTATGGCATAATAATTATTCCACATTGCTGGGATTCGATGAGCTTTTTTTTTTTTTAACAAAACCTGAAATTTTGTTTTATGTGTCACATTCACCCTTAGTCTTTTTCCTAAAAACAATATTCCCAATCTCTGAAATGCTGTATATAATATTATGTAAGTATCTATGTGCATGAAAAGATACATGCACAGAATATATTATTTTTATAAAAGCAAAAAGAATCTGGATGGCCATCCATGAAAGAAATAGCTAAATAAGTTTTGGAATTCAATTTTAGGAGTGAAAAGAGTAGGTCAGATGTTCAAAAGGAGTACAGACAATATGTATAAAGTCATGACTATAAGCATGTTTACTTTGATCGCTGGTGTTTGTTTTGCTTTGTTTTGCGAAGATTACCTCAAGCAACTGACTGTTCTTCAGGTCCATTATGCCTTCCCATCAAAGTTAATATATTCACGAAAATAAATGACTTTTATTTCCAGCACATGGTGAAAATAAATGTGTAGTGATAGCATACTGAATGTACATTGAACTAACCTAAATTCACCTCTTTGTTCTGGGGAAACAATAAAATAACTCTAGATCATAGACCCCAAGAGAAGCCAACTACACCATCGGGTTCTCAACTTCTGGTTCTAAACTTCATGTTCTGTTTCAATACTTAAGGACAAACTGCTGAAATTGATTAGACATAGAGTTGTATATTGAACACAAATTCACATCTTCTGTTGTTGAGCCAGTAGTGGATTCTGAACAGAAATTCCTGTCACCATTATTATCTGGTGAACACAGGTGAATACATCAAAAAATATTTCTCTTTTCCCACTTCTTGACACTGAATCATTTGTTTTTGTTTTTTAAGAAACTAACCACTATCTAAGATGTAATTCCACTAACTTTCCAGGGTAAAGAAAGAAAGAGAGAATCGTGCTTGGCCAAGTGTAAGGCCAAGAGCAAGGAGGGACACTCTCAGTAAGATGGACTGACACAATGGGCACAAGAATGGGCTCAAACATTATCACTCTTCAGGAAGATGCTGCAGGACCAGGCAATGTTTCATGCTGAAACGCCTAAGAGCATCATGAGTCAACGTCAACTCTAGCAATTTACAGCACTAATCAAGCACTTACTATGAAGCAAATAAAAGAGTAAGAGATGTACACAAGTTAACCCATATAATGCTTATACAGACCTTATGAGACATATGTACAGTATCTCCAATTTTGCAGTTGAGAAAATTGAGGCACAGTAAAGCTTCTGACAACCCTATATAAAAAACTTCAACTAAATTTTAATATAATTTTGCTCCCTGGAAATTCCCTAATGAGTTACATGTATAAGTGTATTTTTTCTTATCTATAACTATCACCTGCTCTTTAAAGGCAGTCCCAGTGATGATTTTAACAGTACTATCAATACAAATGTGAAGTTCTGCCTTAATAAATATTTGGTATCAAATATGTTAGAAGACCTTGGTCTTCTTCCCCTTCCAAATAGTGAAATCATTATTTTTTTATTTCCTAATTGGGGGGGGGGGTTAGAAAGAGGGAATTGATCACAGGGATCTACCTATAACCTCTTCTCTGGGGGACAGGCCGCAGAGGGGTAGGTGAAGGGAGACGCCGGGCAGTGTAATAAAAGATATAATAATAATTTATAAATCATTAAGGATTCATGGGGGAGGGGGGAGGGGGAAGGGAGGGGGAGGGGGGGAAAGGAAAATGAGCTGATTCCAGGAACCCAAGAGGAAAGCAAATTCTGGGAATGATGAGGGCAACAAATGTATAGGTGTGCTTTACACAACTGCTCTATGTATTGTGATGAATTGTATGAGCCCAAATAAAATGATTAAAAAAAGAAAGATAAATGAAACAGCAGGATGCTTGATATTTAAGTTGTGATCAATTAAAGAGAAACAACTGGTTTTCCTAGTTTATATTTACATATGCATACAAAGCATCAAAATGACCTTCCTTTCAAAAATTCAAATGGAAACTTCTATGTGAATACAAATGGCTGAAAGCGTCCTTAACAATGATGCAGAAATATCCCATCACAACAGATGCACAATCTATCATCATGTCACGCAAGTGTGTGTCACTCTGCAAGTCCATCTATCATCATACACTGATCAGGCTTCATGTCATATGAGTTTCAATGTAACCCTCACCGAAGATGCATTACAAGGGCAGGCAAAGCCACATACAAATGTTCCAGACCAATTTGGTTTTAAATAAAGTCTTCTGTTTATGCCATATGTTCAACAGTTAAAATTCAATGTCAATATCATACCTGGTTATTTCTTCTTTAAGTTTGCATGGATCTTCTGCATAAAATTTAATACCAAAATACAAAGTATATGGAGGTCCAGCTAAAATTAAAAAGTAGAAATTAATTAGATCTCACATTACAAATTAATCCAAGTAATAGTATAGCATAATTAAACTCACAGTAACATTAAAATTAAAAGTTATACTCACCAAGAATTTCTAAAGAAACAGAAAAATATGCCAAGGAATAAAGTCAACCACGGGACCACTATATGTATACATGTATGTATGTATGTACATTTTTTAAAAAGGCAGGAAAAAAGGCTTTATCTCTAGTTGGTGAGGTTATGTAAAATTTTTATTTAAAATTATTTGTTTTTTCCACTTTTATAATTTTCTACAATATATACAGAATATTGTCTTCATGAAGAAAAGGTTATCAAAATATCAAATACATGGTTTTAAATTCATCTGCCACTTTATAGCATTCAAAATGCAACATGAATGAAAAGCTGGAGACAATATAGGTTCCCAGTAGTTCGTTAAGTCTATCATAAAATGAATATATGATATCATGTGCCTGTTTAAATACATAAATGAAACTAGACCTATATATTTTGATATGGAAAGATTCATATGTGTAATCTATATTATTGAGCCCAGAACATGGTCCCTTTTCTAAAAAAACAAAAAAAAATAGCAAGCTATCTGCACTTAACAACAATGAAGACAACAATATATATGTTATTACATATATTACTCATTCATTTATTTCCCCTTTCTAAGAGTAAACAACTAACAGTAGTGAACTCTGAAAAGAGAAAGTGAAAATTATCTTTAATATGTAAGCACTTTCTCATTACACATATATATCTTTTACTTTTAATAAAATAAAATTGTCAGTGTGACTGTGGATTAGAGACAATATTTGTTTTACTCTTAAACATTTCTGACTCTAAAATATGTTATTAAAAATTTAATCCAAGAGCCCCTGTAGTGAAGTGATTATGTTTGGGGCTGTTGACCTCCAAGTCAGCAGTTTGAAACCACCAGCCGCCTCCTCAGGAGAAAGAAGGGGCTTTCTCCTTCCGTAAAGAGTTACAGTCTTAAAAATTTCATCCATTTACTACCTTCTACTATATGGAGAACTTATTTATGTATACTATAACCAAAACCATAACCAAATGCTCATTGAGCAAAAGAGTATAAACCTCGTGGTTCTAACCACATCATGATATATATATATATGTTTTTAAACATTTTATTAGGGGCTCATACAACTGTTATCGCAATCCATACACACATCAATTGTGTAAAGAGCATTTGTACATCATTCTCAAAACATTTTCTCTCCACTCAACCCCCCGACATTAGGTCCTCATTTTTCCCCTCCCTCCCCGCTCCCCACTCCCGCATGAGCCCTTGATAGTTCTTAAATTGGTATTTTGTCATATCTTGCCCTGTCCGACGTCTCCCTTCACCCACTTTTCGGTTGTCTGTCCCCCAGGGAGGAGGTCACATATAGTTCCTTGTAATCAGTTCCCTCTTTCCTACCCACTCTCCCTTTACCCTCCCTGTTTCGCCACTCACACCACTAGTCCTGTAGGGCTCATCCGCCCTGAATTCCCTGTATTTTCAGTTCCTATCTGTACCAGTGTACATCCTCTGGTCTAGCTAGACTTGCAAGGTCGAATTCGAGTCATGGTAGTGGGAGCGGGGAGGAAACATTTAGGAACTAGAGGAAAGTTGTATTTCTCATCGTTACATCGCACCCTGACTGGCTCATCTCCTCTCCGAGAGTCCCATGATATATTTTTACAAGAAATATTTAAGCTTCCAAGGGTATGAATCTGATCTGTGCTGTGTCCAAAACCTCACACTTCTCCATTGTACAGTCACTAGATCTGATGTATTTTATTATTTTATTTCTTTAAATTATCATTTTATTGGAGGGCTCTTACAAATCCATCGGTCAATTGTATTAAGTGCACTTGTACATATGTTGCCATCAACATTTCCAAAACATTTTCTTTCTACTTGAGCCTTTGGTATCAGCTTCTTTTTTGCCTGCCTCCCCAACCTTCCCACCCTCGTGAATCCTTGATCAATTATATATTATTGTTGTTATTTCATGTCTTACACGATCCATTGTCTCCCTTCACCCACATTTCTGTTATTTGTCCCCCTGGGAGGTAGACAATCCAACCTTGTGATGGGTTCCCCCTTTCTTCCCTTCTCCCCAGGCCCCCATCCCCCACCCCACTATCCCCCTACCCTCATATCACTACTCCCACTACTGTTCCTTAGGGTTTTGTCTGTCCTGATTTCCATGTGTTGAGAGCTCTTGTCTGTACCAACAAGTCTAGCTGGATTTGTAAGGTAGAACTGGGTCACAGTAGGGGCGGGGAGGGATAAGGAAGCATTCAGGAACTGGAAGAATGATGTGTGTTTCCTGGGTGCTATACTCCACTCTGGTTAAATTATCCCTTCCTTGTAACCATTCTGTGGTGGATTTTGTTTTAGAAATGAACTGGCTCACTGGCCACAGTTTCTATTTGTGGTAGTTTTGTTATGCTTTGTTTAGATTTTTAACAACGACTCTCTCAATCAAGTAAAAAAGAAAAGCTATGAAACAATGCACTCTAGTAAAAATCGACCCACCAACACCCAATGATCCCAAATCTCCACACAGTGAACCTGACAGAATGCTCTACCAGTCTGTTTTCTTTTGTAATTGAGTGCATAAATTCACCCGTTTAGAAATGTGAGAGGAAATGAAACAGAACAAGTAAAAAAGATATAAAGCATTACAAAATACAAAGTAAATTATTGTTGTTGTTATTAGTAGTAGTCATACACACTCTGGCTTATGGAATTCAGGAGTCCTGTTCTTGGCATACAGAAGATGCTCAGGACTAGGGCCCATGCCCAACTCTCATCTATGTTTTTCTATATAAAACATTTCTCATGCTATAGCTTTTGAAAGGACGCGGGGTGTTTTGTTTTGTTTTAACTTTGCTATAATTTCTCACCATCTGAATGAATTTCATAAATTTGATTTTATGGTTACTTAAGCCCTCTATTTGTATTTCTGAAAAATACATTACTACCCACAAACACTGATGTCAGGGATACTATTAAATATTTAGAGGAGCAGGAAGTTCACCATCAGCTGGCCCCTCCGTGTCAATCAAGCGCTGTCCTACTGAACAGATGGGCCGGCCTGTGCCCGCAGGCCACTGGAGCTAGCAGCCAGGGGCCAGGAGGAGCACAGATGCTGCTGTGGTGCGGCACCGAGAACACAGGCTTCCCCCAGATACCAGGGAGGCTTCTATGCGCTGGGATATGACAGATGACACCTTACTGACCAAGCCAAGTCGTTTCAGATGTGTTTCACAATGAGCCGTTAAGCAATTACATGATAACTTAGTTTAGGGAACAAAACAAAACAAAATACACACACACACACACACACAATTAAAGGCATTCCATTTGTACTAATTTTCTTTATGGACTTTTAAGCCAAATCTGCCTTCCACTGCCCATTTACAGACAAACGGCTTGTGTTCTAAGTGTAAAGCACCTTCACTATTTCATTGCAATTGATAACATACACAGTGCTTTTGTAAACATTTATTCTCAATGACAACCTAGCAACATGTGCAAGGCCAGTAAAACTCTAAGGAGTTGAGCAATTTACCTAAAGTTGCAGAGATAAGAAGCACATTTGCTAATATCTATAGAGTCCAGTGTTTGTACCACTGTCACTCTGAACTCAGGGATAAAACAAAAGCACGGTGCCTTTAAAGTGAGCAAACACTTTCATCGACACCACTGTCCTAAAGAGCAATAAAAGGCCATTGGAATAGACATATTAGAGGCAGGTTGAATCTTGTCAGATGCTTTGACTAGATCTTGACTACTAAATATCAAATGCTGGAACAAGCAATTTCATTATATACATAAATATTCATTACCCTAATTCCATACCAAGCCACAGAAATGAATACTGTTTCTATTTAACAAAAAAATGTAATTGCCAGAATCTTGGAATTCCCTAATCTATCATTTGCAGTGACTAATTTGGAGAGCTCTAATAAAAGTAAGAATGCTCCCATTAGCTCAGGGATAGAGTAAGACTTACCTAGGTGAATCCTGGTGGCAAGCAAATGTTCTACCATTTTTACTGACTTTCTGACTAATCTATAGATGATTTCATCATCATTTCCCTTCACTAGTTAACAAACTATTTCAGGAAATACAGGTTTTCCTTGATAATAATCTTATCAGTTATGTATTACTACATGATAATACTATCAGTGTTTTATTCTTGCTCTATATCAAATCTTTAGCAGTATTTTTTTTAGGATGAGCAAGTTATTAGAGGATAGGGTGATACTTAAATAGAATATTTCATGCCCTATACGAAATAAGCATGCAGGTATCAAGCATCAAAGAACAAAAACTATCATTGTAAAGGTGGGTGAATGCAGAGTCAAGACTCAAAGCCCATTGGTAGGCAACTGGACACCCCCTTGCTGAAGGTTGTGGGGAGGAGACAAGCCAATCAGGATGCAGGGCAGCAATGATGAAACATATACCTTTCCTCTAGTTCTAAAATGCCTCCTCCCCCCCACTATCATGATCCCAATTCTATTTTACAAATCAGGCTAGACCAGAGGATGTACATTGTACATACAGCAACTGGAAACACAGGGAATCCAGGATAGATGACTCCTTCAGGACCAGTGGTGAGAGGGGCGAGGCCTGGAGGGTGAAGGGAATGTGGGGAAGAAGGGGGGAACCGATTACAAGAATCTAAGTATTGCCTCCTCCCTGGGGGATGGACAGCAGAGAAGATGGAAGAGGGAGACGTCGGACAGTGTAACTTATGGCAAAACTATAATAAGTTATGAATTATGAAGGGTTCATTATGGAGGGGGAGGGAGAAAATTAGAAACTGATATTAAGGGCTAAAGTGGAAGGCAAATGTTTTGAGAATGATGAGGGCAACAAATGTACATATGTGTTTGATACAATGTATGTATGTATGGATTGTGATAAGAATCGTATGAGCCCCCAATAAAATAATAAAAAAAAAAAGAAAGTCCTATGAAGCACAGTTCTACACATACATGCATGGTCACCAGGAGTTGTAATCAACTCACCCACAACTGGGTTTTGTTTTTGAACCATGAATACAGGACATTTTTCCATTAAAAAAAAAAAGAAAGAAGCATGTTAAATGTGCTTAGGAACATTAATGGTACACAAAAATGAAAGAATTTACTTTTTTCTTCTTCATCAACTAAATAGAAATCGCATTTTTTTCTTTTAAAAAGGCTGAGTAAAGACATATTCCTGTAACTTTTCTAATTTCCCAATTTATCTTTTTTTTTTTTAAGTATTTGGTTCAAGTAGATAATATAGAAATTTACTATCTTTATTATTAAAAGGAAATAGTTTGAAAAATCTCAGCTTTCCAGGTCCTATGTGATAAAACGCTAACAATTAGATCTGCTAAAGAAGTCCTAGTGGCCTGTGGGTAAGGTGTTGGGTCCTAGTGCCCTGTGGGTCAGGTGTTGGGTCCTAGTGCCCTGTGGATCAGGTGTTGGGCCTAGTACCCTGTGGGTCAGGTGCTGGGTCCTAATGGCCTGTGGATCAGGTGTTGGGTCCTAGTGTCCTGTGGGTCAGGTGTTGGGCCCTAGTGCCCTGTGGGTCAGGTGTTGGGTCCTAGTGTCCTGTGGGTCAGGTGTTGGGTCCTAGTGCCCTGTGGGTCAGGTGCTGGGTCCTAGTGCCCTGTGGGTC